AGAGAGAGAGAGAGAGAGAGAGAGAGAAAGAAAGAGAAGTTCTTTGCGGGTGATTGAGCTACCCGCCACCTCCATCCTTCCTCCACCACCACTAGCGGTGAGAAGAAGAGATGTCGAAACCAGAGGAAATGTCTACCAGGTCAGTGCGTAATTATTATTATTGCTTTCGGATGAATTAGTTGGGCAAACAGTGCTCCCTTTATCAATCAAATGACTAAAATTGCAGATTTTTAACGCACAAATGACTTGACTTGTCTTAAGATGCTAAATATTGTTTAAACATCTCTTTACATCTCTTTAAATTGTTGGACTATACATATTGTGAATTTGATGAATTTTTAATCTGAGATCTTTTTACTAATGTTGAATCTCTCTCTCCCAATTTGTAGACTATATCTAAGATTAATTTCTGCTATTTTTTTATTAACTAAAGTTTAAAACTCCAAGGGTTACTTTGATCATTTCTTAAATTCTTGAACTTTTTTATCTTTATGGAAAATGATTTATACTACATTTTAAAAACATGTTACTCCAACACTGTTATATACTCAGAGACAAAATATTATTAATGGGACTAGATTTTAGAAAAAAGTTCAAGTTTTATTCAAGAAACACAAAAAGAATGTTATAGATTGGCTTGTTGGCCAATGCTATTAGATTGGTAACCTTGCATATCGCGTGTTTCACGTCATGCAATCTCTTATATATGCTTGATTTAGATGGAAACATATGTCATTGTTTATTAATGTATATGTTACATTTTATGCATGATATCGTTTGTCGTCAGCGTATTATTATATTTCCTGCATCTACGCGCAACTTGAAAAACGAATGGATAGACACGTGCACGAAAATACATAAATTTTTGCAATTAATAGGTGAAACCTTTATATGTCCTATGTAATACGAATAGTTCGCAAGGAAGCATAAAAGTCGGTTATTTGTACTGTAAAATTTTATTTCAACGAGATAAAAGAAATAAGAAGAGAAATTGAAATTGAGAAATAAACAAAATTTTATTTTGCTTAAGAATAGAATCTTTTATATTCGGTGTGTTAGGAGGAATAAGGGGATAGGTAAATTGATTCCGACGAAATTGGTTTAATGTCAATTAGCGGCTTGATATAAACACTCTAGCAAAGAGTAATGCGCATCTTTCATCAACAACAAACAACTTTGCCAAAAACAACATGCGTCATTTAGAAATGAGATTCTACGTATTTCGTTTTCGTTTTTAATCATACGCACATATATATATATATATATATATATATATATATATATATATATATACA